CCACTAATCGTTATTTAGAAGGATCTTAATTGGATTGATAGAGTCTGTATATGCTTATGATAATCCTTTTCTGGGTATACCTGCAGCATAAATTTTACCCAATAATTAGTCTGATTTTATGATTTGGTTTAATTGACTATAGATGAATATGTAAGGCTAGTACAGTTATGATCTTATTGGATAGGATATGTGTGTTGTTATGTAAAGGATTTTGAATCGGTAGGTAGGCTATCCCTTACGACTAAATGAGCAATAGAATTTGATCAACTTAGACTTTGTAAACGAGTTCGGATTGGAGAATAGGCATCCATAATTTGAATTTAAACCGCTAGTATGATTTTTGATTTCATAACAGATTATAAGACTAATAGTAAAGTTAAATGTGTAACTAAATAGTGCTTAAAAATTAAAACCTGCCTTAGAAACCGAAAATTTAGCTTGATAGGATAAATTTTTACTACTGGCACATCACTCTAACAGCAGTAGATGTGATTCGATTCAGTAGACTATTTACCATGTCAATAAATCAAGCATGTTTGATTTGATTTGACTTAATGGGCTAAGAATACCATCATCGATATCATTTTGGATAGTAGCTGTGGAAAGAAACTTGGTAACTCTTAGTCTCCTTCTTGAATAAGTTTGCAAGACTATAAATGGTACATCATAGAAAAAATTGGACAATCAATACCATACAGAATCAGCTTTTTGTCTATTGCAATTTTAAAGGATAGAATACTGTTCAGGTTCTATATTATTGCAATAATCAATATAAAGTATCTTACATAGAATGAAGCTCGATAACTCCAAATTTTATTCTTTAAACGCTTATACAACACTTTAAATTGTTTATCGCGGAAGAGATTATACCAAACAGAACCAGCTCTTTGCCTGCTACTATTACAGTATTATTAAGGATCCAATACTATTGCAATAATCAATGCCTGAAATCTTGTTATTACACTTTTAAACTACAAACATACGTGTATTGGACAATTTGGGACATTGGCCGCAACTTATATCTATCTGCCTAATATATATATTTATCCGTCAAGAAATTTATAAAAGAAATAGTTGAAGGAATGGCTCGTATATTAAAACTGACAATTCGATACACTTCTTTCATTAGCAATACTGTCATGATTTATTAGACTAACCGATTGACTTGAACTAGTATAAATAAAATTAATTTTAAATTGTTACTAAGTAAATTCCTAATTACAGTAAATCAACGGAAAAGGATTCACATCCAAATGACATTTCATATTGTTATTAGGCCGGATTGGAACAAAAATGATACAGAGAGCAAAACGTACTTCAAGCATAAATAATAAAAGAATTAAAAAATAAATACATGAACGAAATAATGAAATGATCTTCAAATCAATAATAAATTGTTAATAACTATTGCAAGCCGACAAAATTTCGAATACAATGAAATGAATTGTGCTTATGAAAGCAAAAAACATTCATGTTTTTCATTCTTGATTGAAGGTAATTAAAAAAATTAACATAGGGTTACCGACCATTGTTGTTGCTTATGATTAATTGATTGTGCCAATGAAGTTTATAATTAAATTATTTTCAGAATCATCGGTCTTCTTCAATTATTTTAAATATATTACATACCGGTAGCCGGTAGTGATCATACCTCTACTTTCTAAAATAGTACGACTACAGCTTAAGAATTGATTAAATCCAAAATTTGAAATGAATGCTCACCACTCTTTCCTTAAACTGCCTAGGCTTCTAAAATAGTACTGATTAAGAATTTATAGATTGAATTAATAGTCGATTTTGATGAGTATTGGCTACTTTTACTTAATAAGTCTAAAATTCAAAAATTGTTAACTAATTTTCGTAAAATACGTTCATCATGGATTTTAAAATGGCTATCGGTAGCAATGATTTTTCATTATCACACTTAAGTATCGAAATTTCATGATCAAAGTTCATGAATTAATTTAATTATAGATAAGTAGATGTAAATTTATCACTTTCCTTCATCACGAAACACGACTATGTTTCCAAAATGCTATTGACTAACAGTTATAAACTAATCAAATACTAGAAATGCATATATTTATCATGACCGGATTTTTAAAACTGTTGACCTGCAGTCATAAATTGAATTAATGAAAGATTACAAATGCACTCTGATTATTCTTATTCCACGCCTAAGACTCTAAAACTGGACAGAATAAAGTCCATGAGTTATATTCTTTGCAGATTATAAATCCATGCTAATTGTTTTACAATCAGGCCTAAATTTTCAAAATCAAAATGGGCCTGACTAAAAATAATTCCTAAATTAAATTAATCCTACGCAGTTATTTGCTACTGATTTATTAAAGTTGTCCTAGTTCATAGAATGATGCTGGTTTATAAATTGAATTATTCCTATTCGCTACTAAACTATCTATCCATACTAGTCATCTTTATGTTACTATGGCAGAGTAATGTCGATTAAAATTTTATAAATTAACTTATTCCTATACAGTAGAGGTATATTCATGCGGCTCACCTTATCCTTAAATATGGTTCTGTTTCCTCACCGTAATTTCAATACTGTGCAGACTAAAATTAAATTATTCCTTCTTTATTCGTCTATACTTATTTTTCCGCTATTATCGTGTTACTATTTTCCTGAAAACAGGCGACTAACCACTGTATCACAACAAGATTCTATATAGAGGCATTCCTATCTTGTTTTGATAGATAATACAGCAAGTTATTTACTGATAAGCTGCTGTTACCTAGAATTTGCATAGATATTGACCTTGATAATTGCATGTTTAATTAATAATATTATTTTCCGTCATGATAGCGTTATTTTTTTTTTCTATGAATATACTGACTAACGATCATAAAAATGGTTTCGTAAAGCGGAACTCTTATCTTGATTTCAGTCGATAATCCACCTTACTACTCACTGATAAAATACTGTTATCTAGAATTTGTATATATATTTACATACATAATTACATATTTTAAGAATATTATCTAAACTATAATTTATAGTATAATTGATGCTTACGTCGCTAGACTATAAATTGATTTGCTAATAAAATGTTTGGCTTCGTAGTTTGGTCTACGAGAGTAGTTCCCGTGGCATCCTATTAATCTTCTATTGTAAATATTTAACCATTTTTGAATTATCTCGTTAGTACATGTCGATCAATATAGGCCAATACAGGGTTTATAGTTTTAATTTTGCTCACACAGGCCTACGTACATAGTGCTAAAATTCACGAATAGAATTGGATTTCCACACTATAGATCCCTATATATATTTATTTTCTGTTATTATCCAAATATTCCTTTAAAAAAATTTAGAATACGAATAATGATATTATTCCATAATAGTAAATTTGTGGGTACGTTGATGATTTTTCAGTATCATTTCAATTTTCATTAAGAATGCTGAAATTGATTACATTATTTGCAATGTTGTAAATATTCAATTGCGCATTGATCATTTCCCGTAATTATTCCAACATTTCTCAAAAATGTTGAATAGAATAACATTATCTCAAATGCAGTAAATCCTCTTCGGTCACTTTCCCTATCCATTCCAGTATTGCTTAAAAAACATTGAAAAGAATGACATTAATTTCGATATCGTAAATGCTCATTGATCATTTCCCGCAATCATTTTAATATTGATCCAAAAATATTGAATATGATGATGACATTATATTCAGTGTCGTTAATGCTTATTGATCATTTCCTGTAATCATTTTAGTATTGCTCCAAAAATGTTGAAAATATTGATATTATTTTCAATGTCGTTATTCCTTATTGATCATTTTCCGTAATGATTCCAATATTTCTCAAAAAAATGTTAAAAATAGTGACATTATCCCGATATGGTAAGTTAACAGTACAGGACGAGCAAGTAGTCAGATATGTTAAAGCGGCATGGATACCTGCTTATGTATTAGCTTAAAACAGAGAAAGCACTTTGTAATGCCATCAAGCGCAAGTATAAGAAGAATAGCTTCTTGCATGGATCAGGCATAATTACCGCAAGTCAAGCGAATATAACTGGTATAATAACTTTCAAAAAATTTAATTCTTTGAGGGCAAATTACAAAAGCAAGTAAGCATCGTCAATGATACCATCTAACCAGTTAATAAAGAAATCTGTCGTACACAAGGAAGATGGACAAGTGCGTCTGTAAATTATGTATCCATTTATATACACATGGAGTAATTCTACAGGTTAGAATAGATGACTTGGAATTTACATCAAGAGTACAATGGAATAAAAATCGTTTCCATCAGTGTCTATAGTGGCAATTAACTCACAAATTATATTTCATCGTGGACTCAAATACAAACCACATTAATTACCACCCAAATTATGTTGAAATAGCAAAAACAAAGGAGACGTCCAACATCTTTAACTAGTATAATCAATTACACTCTGAATATATGTTAATGTTATCGTGTCGCAATAAATTACTTTATTATCATATTAGAAAATAGACTAAAACAAGAAAAATTACAACAATCAGAGAAAGAAGTAAAATATGATAAGAGGGTTTATGTTTTTGAAATCATAAAGTCATTCGGTTATAATTTAATGTAATATCTGATTAAATCAACGGTCATAATTATGAATATTATCCGCTAAGCGTGACATAAGACATCAATTTGAAAATAATAACGAAACACTTTTTGTGTGGTAACACTCTGGATAATTAGTAAACATTTTACATAAAAATGAATATTGTGCATTTAATAATACATAATAGTTGTGAACTGCTACCAAAAGTATTTCAAAGCTAGGATATTTACATCAATATCATCATGCTCTTTATTGCTAAAAATCTGATGGTTTAAATATAAGTTTAGCAATTGGTGAATGATTGATTGCTTGCGTCAATCAAGATTTCATACATTTTTATTAAACATTTCATCGGTGACAAGTTGGTTTTAAATAAAAATTATGCATTTGTAGATAGGATCATCAGTATAGTATCATTTTGGGTGCATTAATCTAGTGTAGATAGATTTATTCTCTCTTTAGGACTTAAAGCATCTATCAGAAATTCTGTATCACCACGACGCTTTTTCCTATTCGATTCTTCATCCATTGCATCCATAGAATGGAAGATTTCATCTTCGCAGCGATAATCCTCTTGTATTTGTATGAGCAGCTGATTTAACTGAATTTTGGTTTTTGCATTTCCAACTAGGTCATCGACGATGGCGCTAACATACTTGGCTAAGCAATTGAAGCATTTAACTAGACTTTTGCATTCTTCATCGACTGCATTTTCAAAACGTTCACGATTATTACAACTCTGACATAATGCAGTCTGATTTCGACCAGTCCATCGACAGTGCTTACACACGTAATGACAGCATAATTTGGATTTTACTGGAAAGACCACCAATCTTCTACACCATGTGCATATCATGAGTTGCTGAAAGCGTCTGCAAGACTCTAACAATTCGCTACAGCTGGTTTCCGACGGTGGTTGTGTTAATAACCGGCAAAGTTCAACGTAGACACTAACAGCTACGCTCTTTCTACTTTTTGCCATAGGAATCATTTTTGGTACATGACTAATTGTGACGGTTGGGAGTCAATGCTGGGCTAGTACGATAATAATGCTGCCTTGAGATGTTGTTGGCAATCCAGTTAATGATCTGTAATAGAATGAATTCAATTCAAATAGGGTTGAGGTTATCAGAAGGTTATTAAAACAGTCCATTATAGCCTAGCTAATTACTCATTCTAACTTTAGCTTTGATATTTTAATAAAAATATTATGCTATTTGTAAAGTAGGTTAGTCATGACTGTCTATTTTATTGAAAGCAGTTATCAGTACAAGAATTACTGTAGGGCTACTTTAACCCTTTAAGAAGTGGTACTGAATATCATCAAGTACAACAATATACGAGTACTATTGTTGATTAGATTCAACTCGGACTTCATCGCGTAGGTACTTAGCCATTCCTGCGAATTTTGATATCTTTAAAAAAGGCCAATGAGCTCTTAGCATCATGGCTTCCATCGACTAAGCACTGTACTGTATATGAACAAGTGTGTTGCGTGTAGAATCCATTCGATTTTTAGTAGCTAGTATACAGTAAGTTGTAGTTCTATCAAGCAGAATGATTGCGAATTTCCAAGGGGGCAACATCTCATGGTAGTGAATGACAAATTGTTGATTACCAATAAACAGATGTAGATAATGGGTTTTGTAGCCTCTTCTCATCTGCGATTTCTTTAGTAAAGATAGCCGACTATTCTACGTTACATGGTGCTCACTTCCTACAGTATTACTTTTATCATCCATTACACTACAGGGAATTAGCAGAAGTCGCTGTACTGATCTATTTCTTATCCATCACTTTAAATGTTGTTATTCATTTAGACGATACTACAGTATGCTAGACTATAGCTATAGTATTTATTAAATCATACTACGATACAGGCTCTTCGAGAAGATAAGAGAATCACTCGATCAGTTCCTTTGCTCTACTTATTGGGGACCTTATAGCGATAGGCAAGATTGTGGTGATTTCAGTCAATGCATAAAATTAGAAAGTTACTCCATTGATGACACAGTTTACGTAGCGGATTCAACTTGCAAGTCAAGAAGGTAGAACAAAGTTGATCGCCTTACAGCCACTCCGAGCTCCAAGTCTACTCCAATGGTAGCACTCATCGTATCCAAAGTAGGAAGAAAATAGACTCAAGTTCAAGTATACTGTTGGATGAGTCGAAAGATTTTATTCAACCGATCCAGGTAGAATTATCTCACGCAGTAGCTTACCATCATGGCAATATCAGTAGCAATTGATTGACTGTGAATCAATATCTCTATTCGATCCTAGTTGAATCTAGTGGACTATCATGTCAGCAAGTTTGACTATTTGAAGTGATACTGCAGTACTTAAGAGTAATGCCATTTCCGATTGATCCTAATTCAATCTGCAATGGCGTTGGCTACCATGACAGTCAGCCATATGATTTGAACTAATAGTGTGCAAACTATCTTGGATCGATTTTCGTTTCATTTGCGTAGGTAGTGGCTATCACGACAGTCCATTCCATGATTTGAACGAATAGTGAGTAAAATATGCAATCGATCCTAATTGAATCTGTATTGGCGTTGACTATGATGACAGTCAGCTACAAGGCTTGAGCTAACAGTGAGTAAACTATCTCCAATCGATCTTTGTTCAATCTTAGCTATGATGATTTAAACTGAGGGTGAGTCAATTATCTTCGATTGATCTCTGTTCAATCTTAGCTACTACGACAGTCAGTTTGATGATTTGAACGAAGAGTGTGTAAAATATGCGATCGATCTTCGTTGAATCTGCATTGGCGTTGACTATGATGACAATTAGCTACAAGGCTTGAGCTAAAACAGTGAGCAAACTATCTCTAATCGATCTTTGTTCAATCTTAGTTATGATGACAATCAGTTTGATGATTTAAACTGAGGGTGAGTCAATTATCTTAGCTACTACGACAGTCAGTTTGATGATTTAAACGAAGAGTGTGTAAAATATGCGATCGATCCTCGTTGAATCTGCATTGGCGTTGACTATCATAACCGTCAGCTATATGACTTGAACGAACAGTGAGTAAACTATCTCTAATCGATCTTTGTTCAATGTTAGCTATCACAACTGTCCGTTCTCTAATTTAAACGAACAGTGAGTAAAATAACAAATTCATCCTAGTTGAGTCTGCATTGGTGCTGACTATTATAACAGCGAATTCGATGATGTTCACCAGTAGTAAGTAAACTATCTCCAATCGATCTTGGTTCAAAACTACGTTGGCGGTGGCTATGACAACAGTTAGTTTGAATCATTTGAACTAAGAGTGAGTAAAATATCCGGATCGAGTTCAATCGTTGAATCTGCATAGGTGTTGACTATCATCCATGGTGAGTCGACTATTTGCGATCAATTGTAGCCCAATGTGCGTTGATGATAACAATCAGTGAGATGATGTAAACTAATGGTGAGTAAAGGTATCTGCAATCGATCTTGTTTGAAACTGTATCTCATTCAATATCACCACAGCAATTTAGCGTGCTCGACGTAGTCTAGCATGGGGCATAGTCCTACTTTCGACTGCAATGGCGTGTATGTCAATCGTGTCGTCTCCAAGATAGCTAGAAAAGTAGTGGGCCTACTATGTTCATAGCTACTGTAGTCAATTGATGAAGGATAGAAGACATCGTTGATGGGGTACTTGTTGGCTGTTCAAGTCTCGATCTGAGCCACATCCTGTACCTAAAAATGGGCCCATCTCATTGAACGATTGAGTGGCTGACTGTCGTTCGTTTGCATCGCTTTCCAAATTGGTAGAGAGAGTCTATTCTACTTACATGGGTAGCAATGGTCGTTGAAATCGATCAATGGAGACAAGTCTTTGGGCTCTTTTTTTGCCTACCAATGGAGCAAGATGGCTGTCAAGAAGGTTTGAGGGAAAATGGTCGCCATGGACAAATGGTTGCAATGGTGATTGGCTTGAGGCGTGAGCGGCTTGACGTGTTGATGTTGTCAACCCAAAGGTCACACTCACTTTCTGGAGTCTGGTGTCAACTCAAGAGTGAGTGTCACAACTGCACTATCGGGATGAGTCAGCAGCGATCCAACGAACGACACAATACGATGACGTGTCGTCTGGTTGGCAGTCTGCTTCTACTCCAGTCAGTGACAATCGAGGACTATTTTGTATTGCATACAGTATAGGTCGTTGGCTACAGAAAGAGCATCATGCCAGCTGTCTGCCCACTCTGTCCTACAGATCGCATTGCCTGTCCCATCTTCCAGCAGAGTCCAGTAGTCCAGTACTGGACACAGTACTATAGTACTTGGTCATGATAGCATTTTACAAAGTCGCAGAAACTTGAAAATCGAAAATAAATTGATAGATCATGTCTGTACCTCTGAAAACAAGAATCATTTTGGAATTACTGTACTGTAGACTGCATACTGTACTGTCCTGCACTTGCATAATGAGAACGCGAAGTACTGTACACTGTACAGTAAGTACTGTAGTGGTCACGAGTTCGCTGAGTACTGTGCTACTGTATACAGTACTGTACAGTACTGTATCCTGAGTGTACAGTATAGTGTACTGTAAAGTAAGTACTGTAGTCAGGACAATGAGGAGGTACTGTTGTGCGCATGGCTCATTTCCAAGACCAGGCCAAGACATTGATTTCAAAATTCCCTAAGCAGCCATGGACTATTTCTATTTTTTTACAGCTAGTGGAATTAGACTGCATACTGTCCTGTACTTGCATAATGAGAGCGCGAAGTACTGTACAGTACACTGTACAGTAAGTACTGTATTGTGCTATACTGTACTGTACTGTACAGTACTGTATCCTGAGTGTACAGTATAGTGTACTGTAAAGTAGGTACTGTAGTCAGGAGGGTACTGTACTGTACTGGAAGTACAGTAGTCCGGACTCTGAGGAAGTACTGTTGTGCGCATGGCTCGTTTCCAGACCAGGCCAAGACATTGATTTTAAAATAACCTAAGCAGCCGTGGACTATTTCTCTTCTTTTACAGCTAGTGTAGTAGGCTACTTTTAGCATATTGCACTATGGTAGTGTAAAGTACTCATCTTTGCACTCCACCGGGATCAACTTGGAAGAACGACCAGATCTCTATGCTACCGCTAAAGAGGAAGAAAAACAACCCATTGTTATACTGTAGACGCGTAGAATAGACATGTAGTCACCCTTTTGCATCCAAGAGTGCAATTTGTCAAACAATTTTTACAATGCATGTCGAAAATACACCATTCTAGGATAGACCTTCATATACGCTCCATCATTTTATATTCTATAGTACAATGATTAGTGTTTTTAGCTATGTCGTTAATTTCAAATGTTAAAACTACTAAGTGTAAATATGGCTGGCCAAGTGGCCATTTCCAATGCGATAGCTGGCATCACCTGAACTACAGTACCAATGGTACAGTATACGGTCAACTTTACTGTACTTTGTATTGTAGAACGAGGAATTCCACCGGTCCAATTTTCAAAATCAATTTTCAAACCGTCCTCGATACAAACAAAGTTTATCATCGCCATTCATCTTCTCTTCCATCGGATGCAGAATATTCTTCCTGGACGAAAGGTAACCGAAATCATTCAACTTATAGTATTAGAAGGACCACTGTAGACTAAAGTTCTCTCTTACTCGATAGCGAAATAAAATTCAATGATCAACTTGATTGCGATGAGTTGAACAGGACTGCTAATGAACTCTTCAACTTAAACGTTATGTAAACTATGATGTAAACACAAGCAGCCAACTTGATAGTCTTTCCAAATATTCACATCGCTTATGTTGAAGATGATTATTGTGATTGCTATCGTGTATTGTTGTGAATGGATGGATGCAGTAGCCCTACTGTGATAGCAATGCGTCAATAGAGCAATCATTTTTCATATCCGGTCCGATCATAGGATCCATCTTATCCTGTATCTGTTTGTTGACATCATGTAGAAAATGATTCTTAGTAGTAATTCATGTCTGAACGGAAAATCTTCTACGATGCCGCTGGACTCTACCAATTCATATATGGCAGCATTCATTTATTGATAGGATTATTCATTAAAGTTGTCTTTGTAATTAAATTTCTAGTATCAATAAGGGACAATCTGCACCCCCATTCAGCCAAGGAGACAACTAGCATACATAATTCGATTTGTTGACGTGATCCATTTTAGAGAAAAATGATTGCTTGTTAGCCTTAAGTAATGATGCTATATTTTATATTAGAATACTACTACGACGTAGTTGGGTTGAACGAATTTATAAAAAACATCATTCGTTACTTGATCAGATTTTATAGTGTCAGTTAAAACCTGGTTCTATTGACGTTACACGTTATATTATATTACTTACACTAGGAAATCATTCATTGCTAGTCTTCATTTAAAGTCTGCTATGACATAGCTTCACCTAAACAGTTCATGAAGAACAGTATTCCTTTCTTGATAAGGCTATATAGTTTCTATCAGGGCCAGTCATCACGACAAGCAGGAACTATATGGTCCTGGTTGTTTGTTGATATTATACGTTAAATAGGAAATTATTTGCTGTTAACCATTCGGCTTTAATTCATAAATGACAGCATTCGTTCTCTGATACGGTTACATTGTGTCATTTCTATCAGTAGTCCCTATTCCTATCATTATTAATCTTAATTTTAAAGTCATCATGGCCCCGGTCTGCACCTTGTTTCATCGATCGGGACAAAGTATAATCATACAGTATCTTGTTTATCTCTATAGTGCTATCGATTTGATAATTACATAATCGACAGTGTTGATTTACTTTCATACTGCCATTACAGTTATCTTCAAAGCCTTCTAACTCTTCAATACAAACTACCACTATGCTAACCTTAGTATAGTACAATGCTTTTCTATTTACTGTGACTATCACAATACCAACTTGTCATACTATCATCTTTTACAGTTTATCTGTCTGTGATACAATATCAACAACGATATACTAGATGGAGATCCAATCTGAACCGAGTGAAAAAGTGAGTTGTGCATGGGATATCGACTTGGAGGACTGGGAAAAACCGACAAAGTCCAAGCGTAAGCCCGATCTTAAGCAGAAATATCTCAAGAAAAACAAACAGAAAGTGGAAATAGTTCCATGTACTATGAATCAAGAGCTAATGATTAATAGAAAAATGCTAGATGTGCGCAGATGGTAAGAGATGATACACTATATGAATACCAGCAAATAGCGTATAGTATTCAGCAGAGAGTGATGCCAAAGTTTTAATTTGATTACCATTCATATACACCATGTCATAACAAAGTTACAATATTCGTTAACATGTACTGGCTAGGTTTTGCATAAGTCGACCTCAGTATTGGAAATCTTGTGGTATGTCATCGGTAGTTTCATGTTGGAATTATTTATTCAGTACTTTGGGAGCAGGAAGGTTTGTAAAAAATTCTACTACATACGCATTAGTGGGTTGCTATGAAACCGAAATGATTCCCAAAATCTAAATCGATACCTATGTTATTAGCTTAAATCCTATACGGCAAGAGGATGCGCTTTCTATTCTGGGATTTGAAAAGCCTTTTAATGAAATTCATTTTGGCCCTTTTACTGGCAATGCAACGCTAATGAGGTAATGATGGACGCTAATGACCGCGCATTAATGTCTGTTACAGACTAGTCATTGCCATTATTATCCATGTTGTATTTTATTTACTGTTTACTGTTAGTCTTGAACTCACCCTTAGTGGACAGTACTAGCTTATCCACCCTTATAGCTCAATATTATATTATTTGTGACAACATTTAATTTTATGGCATCAAAATGTTAGATGATAGTAATGAAATGATTACTACTGCCAGTCCTGTACAGCAGGCTACGCTAGTACAACGATCGGCTACAAATAGAGTGCAATATTCTATGTTAACAAAGTACCTACATGATCCTCTTATAAAAACTTCCCAGATTGATTGCATGTCAATACCATAGGACATTTACATAAAATAGTAAAAGTAAGAAAATAAAATGATATTTTTGCATATAATTTTAGATGGTTTAGAAAGCTTTGCATATTCTTTGGAGTGAAAGGAAGATGCTCTTATTTTTATAAGCCTCATGGGGCAGGCAAAACTTCAGGCGTCACCGCAGACTGCGCTCTTGAATTACTCCAAACAGGGCTCCGAAGTAGTAATTGTGCCTTCATCTACCATTGCAATAATCATTATATGTGTCCAATTGGATATGAAGTCGTACCACAATCTGCCGAACATGCTTACAGGTATGTAAACCAGGGAAACCTTTAATGTTCTCTAGTAATCTAAATACTAGGTATAATTAATAATTGCAATCTAGAAGTAAGCTCCAATATAAGCTGCAACAACAGAATCTTGCTGTAGCTATATACGGACATCAATATAATTAACATTGAATAATTGTATAAATTTTATAGACCAGTTAAGGGAGATGTGGTATGGACTACTAAAAGACCTACTAAAACAAGGTCTCTTAGCAGTCCATGGATGTGAATACCAATATATGACTTTGCCTTTTTGAAAATGCTATAAATAGAGTAAAATAACTTTTCTTATGAACTATTTGAATTCAATTTATTACCATTTCTCTACAAGCGATGTAACAAGCGGCGTATACAATGAAGATGAACGTAAGAGTTGGATTTTAGTGGGTGATACAAGCAAAAAACAGCCTGGTATCCACTGCATACCGTATGTGTACAATAGTTAAATATTATTTTTGAACATTTTGTATTACGTTTACCGTAAATGAATCAATAAGGTCGTCAGATAAAACTAATACGTGATAGAATAATGCTGCTGTGTTGAATTATTGTACGACAGTTGGGAAGAAATTGTTAAAGATCTGAATACCCAGATGCCATACCTTTACGATGTTCGACGTCGATATAAAGGCATAAAGAAATTAAATACCAGCAAAGAAGGTGGAAATATACATTGTCTCATGATATTTCGTAAATGTTCTACGCGTTGTTCGGACGTAGCGAAACAAGTCTTGCAGCCGATTCAAGACTCCGGGAGTAATATTGATGATAACATATTAAAAGTCAACTTTAATAGCGTGCAAGAAGATACTACGACTGAATTGATAGATCTCGATATTTAAAGTCAAATTTATTGTAATGTGAATCACTTTCGTTGTATAGTAATTGGCAAGTGTTATTTGCATTTTAAGCTTTAAAGTAAATCCTGAGCAAGAAAATACTCTGTTTGCTTTGGGCTTAAAAGGATAACACTGCATACCCTCAAAAATATCTTACTGTAGATCTTCTTGTTTATTGAATAGATTTCTCATAGTTCTATCACTAGCAGATCAACTCTACCATAAATCATTATTCATTTTAATTGAGGTGGTAGTCTGTAGTCATAGACAGAATATATTGTCGCTAATTCACTGTAAAGTATAACACAACCTGTGCGGAGTTTCATTACAGTCTTCCGTTAGTGATAATTATTTTGTTCACTACTATACGTATGTTAATCTATGCGACTCTATTTACATTCTTGTTCATTTTTCGCAATTTTGCAGACATTTTATTCAATCTATTTGTTATAGCTTAGGTTACTTTTATCAAATTTGGCTGAAATTTTATGTACATAAGCTTTAGCTTATACTGTCAACCAAATCTGAGGAGAAAAGTTTATGTTACTGCTAGTCATGACTGTATCGCTGATGACAGTAGAATTTCCTTTCTTAGTAAAATGACAAGGTTTATAACATAATCTTCTCCATGTAATGTGCAGGAGTGAAATCATCATTTACGTTTATAATTAATGTACTATTACATGTTATATATAAATAAAGTATATTGATTTACACTTTTGTCTTTCATGCGCTATTCTAAGTGTTGCATTGGCATGATTTAGCTCAGTAATAGTGGCAATATACACCGTACTCTCCATCGCTTACAATAAATTATCTCTTATTTCCAAAATCTAAATTTACGCTAGGTAATATTATTTGCTTAAATCCAGTATGCCAAGAAGATGCGTTCTAGGTTTTGAAAAGTCTATTGACCCTATTAATTTTCGGTCCCATTACTGGTAATTTGCGGCTAATGAGGTCATGATAAGGTAACATACTCTACTGTCCTTCGTGTATCCATCGTCGCCATGTTATATTTTTTGTCTTCGGTTATAGTGCTAGCATTCCTTACAACTCAATCTAATTCTACTATCGTAGTTACTTTTAAGCTATTAATGTCTTTATTTACAAATGGGTGAAAGAGCTACTAGTATAGATTTGTATAGTATACCTTATTAGTAGCAAGATCACATCTTAAAATAAAATTTTATAAAGGCAGGCAAAGTACATGTCCTATCAATAAAGATTGAATTTAATTTCTTTCTATACTCTCCGTTATCATAATATTTGCAGTACTCTTCAATGTAGTTTTTTCAAGTCTAATTACAAGTACGTAACTATAGCGGGACAGTAGTAACAATTTAGAGACGGTATATAAGGCCCAGATGTTATTTATGAAATGTAATTTTAGCTGGTTTAGAGAATTATGCTTATACTTTGGAGTGAAAGGAACATGCCCCTCCCTTTATAAACCTCATGGGATAGCAAGAATGCAGGAATCACTGCAGACAGCGCTCTTGAATTACTGCCAACGGCATTACAAAGTAATTATTGCACTTTCATCTATCATTGTCATAATCATTATACTGTATGTATTCAATTGGATATGAAATCGTACCGGAATTTGCCGAACGTGCCTACAGGTACGACAGCTAAAAGTAACATTAAATGTCTACTAAAATGCTAGGTATAACTTACAATCTAGAATAGGCTTCAACGCAGGCTAAGGAGAATACAATCTTATAGTTGTAAACAGTATGTTAACATCGTTAAGAATGTATAAGAGTACCAATTTTATAGGCTAGTTCAGTGAGATGCGTAATAGATCAAAACACGATATTGCTTTTATTTTGAAGGTTGCACGAGTAGTATGGATGTCTTTTGATAATTTAAGAAATAGAATTTAGTAGATTTTATTTTCAACTACTCGTATATAATAATATAATGTATCATTAAATCTGCAATGTTATGTCTGCAAGCGATGCTGCAAACGGCATGGATAGTAGAGATGGAAGTGAGACTTGGATTTTAATTGGCTATACCAACGAAGAACAAACAGGCTTTCATTGTATATCGTATGTTTTTATGGTATTTACATCTTACTTTTAATTAATAACAATTAATTTTGAAATTAACCAACGAGATACCGGAATAGACAGGTGCTAGATAGACTAACACTGCTGTATGACATGGTTGCGGTACAGTTGGAAAGGAATTGTTCAAGATTTGAATACCCAGATGCCATACCTGTACGATATTCGACAGCGATATAAAGGTATCATCAAGTTGGATGCTCCCAAAGACGGTAGCAATAACCATTGTCTGATGGTGTTTGGAAATTGTTCAACACGCTGTTCAGACGTAACGAAACGTATCCTGTAGCTCAATCAAGACTCAAAGAATAATATAAACGATAATATATTAACAGGCACGTTAAATGTTGCGGAAGAAGATACTGTAATCAAGTTGATCGATCTTGATAAGTAGCACAGAATTTCTTGACTGCGAACTGCATTGTTGTCCACATGTTAGCACGTATAAATTACTCTTTAGACTTAAATCCTGAGCAGCAAATGCTATTTTTTGCATTTGGCTTAAGACAGCAACGTCTCATGGCTTCGAGTATATCTTTGCATTTATCTTCTTGATAATGATTATCTAATAATAATTATTAAAAAGATAGTTAGTTTATAGCTAATGGATTGAATAGCAGATCTAATGTGCAATGACAGTGACGGATATTTATTTAGTGTAGCATTTGCTGTTTAGGATTTGTTATTGCATCAAGCGCATTATTACGTTTTATACACATCATAATGAATATTTGAGTGATAATCAAGAATATCTACTTCACCATTTACCTCTTAAACAGACTTGAATTGCGCAGGCAATGTCCTTGCAAGGTTCTTTCTTTGGATTCATTTCCTTCGTGTAGATTAACTTCAGTAGGTCAGAATGATTTTGGTACCTAATCCATAATCAATTGAGATCAAATTTAGTTACTACATGAATGCAGGTAAAGATTATTGTTTATGGCATTGTAGCACTGTAATTAGACTACACATCATAGCTACAATTTCGATTACATAAGGAACCAATATCGCTGTCCATGCATCGCCTTTATGTTGTTCGCTTACACACGACTCATGCAAAACTCTTCTTTCCAGTGTCATTATAGCCTATAACCAAGGACCAAGCATCTAGTGGTCCATGATCTAACCCTAACATGGCATTTGCACAGTACTGGAATAAATGTCCATAAATAGGATAGCAGGTTGTAATCTTATTCGTAACTGGTTGTACTCGCACAGCACTGGTATCTTTCGAATCGTGCAAATAATGAACACAATTGTGAGTGGCATACGGAATTGCTGAAACTAAAATTAGCAATGCCATTCTAAATCCTATCGATTAATTGATAGCATTTAGAGGTAGAAAAGGTTCTTATCAATCCACTATGTCAAAGTGATGGTAAATCAAGAAGAAAATTCCATATTTATAGAATAATGTAGAATTCATACTTGAAGGCCATTATCGAGTGATTGCATTTCTATCTCTATCTTCTGAAAACATTGAATTGATGTGTACATTGTACTGCATGCTATTTTTAGTTGGCTTATATATATGTGTAGAATTGTCTTAAGCGTTTCGTCCAGTTGTTGGATTTGTGACAGAAAGTCTAGCTGTTTAACCTAGCTCTTACTCGAATAGCTGTTGCAATACAACGTTGCTCTATAGCATTTACTGTGCTGGTATTCTTGTTCAGTCAGGCAGCATCTCCTATACTGTACTGGAATTACAGAAAGTAGGCAATTGTTCAGCTACCCTCGGGCCCTTTTTAAGGGTTCAAGAGGCAGCTATTAACAACTTGCTCTCTTTCTAACGGTATTAAGCTAACAGTTGATTTAGTAACATGTCCTATCGTAAGCGGTAAGCACGGCAACAATTACAGCATTAATCTCGATGGTAACAGCTTGCTCTCTTTCTAATGGTATTAACACTTAAATTAACAGCAGATTCAGTAATATCTCCTATGGCAAGTGGTAAGCACGACAACGATTGCAGCATTAATCTCGATAGAAGCAACTTGCTCTCTTTCTAATGGCATTAACACTTAAATTAACAGCAGATTCAGTAATATCTCCTATGGCAAGTGGTAAGCGCGACAACGATTGCAGCATTAATCTCGATAGAAGCAACTTGCTCTCTTTCTAATGGCATTAACACTTAAATTAACAGCAGATTCAGTAATATCTTCTATCGTAAGTGGTAAGCACGACAACGATTGCAGCATTAATCTCGATAGAAGCAACTTGCTCTCTTTCTAACGGCATTAAATTAACAGCAGATTCAGTAATATCTTCTATCGTAAGTGGTAAGCACGGCAACGATTGCAGCATTAATCTCGATAGTAGCAACTTGCTCTCTTTCTAACGGCATTAACCCTTCAATTAACAGCAGATTCAGTAATATCTCCTATCGTCAGCGGTAAGCATGGCAACGATTGCAGCAGAAATCTCGATGGTAGCAGAGTGAACACTGTCGTAACATCGCCTGTGCTGTCAACTACTGCTTGTTGCCTAGTAGAGCTGATTCATTGTCACAGTTCTTATGTCTTGTTAACGTGCGTATGATATTGTGCTTGGCTCGAGTTTTCAAATAAAGTAGATTAAAAGAAAGGAAAGCTCAAATCTCAGATTCGTGAGCTCGTTATAAATACTCACCGATTGGTGGTGTTTCTATCAACGACGATGGTGTATTATTTCAGTCTAATAGCAGGCTCATTTCGACTCCATACGCTGCCTACTACCCAGCACTGGTAGAAATCTAAGCAAATGAACTCTTCCTTGTGCTACGTTGAATTCAGTCTTTTTGCAAGCTGTAAAGAATGCCTTGAAGGCCAATGCAAAGTCCTATCAACTCTGTAGTATAGAAGACTTTCATCGGCCTCGTCCTTCCAGAGTCTGTACACTTGTACAGTATAGTAAACAGGGAGAGGATGATGTTTGCAGGAAATGCTCAAACTGCTGTCGCTGCAGTCTTGATCAAGCTTAAGGAAGAACTGTTTCCCCTTGGTCGAGAAAATGTAGGCGTAGATTTGATCCCTCTTCTGATAGACTAAATCAGTAGAATTAATTTACATGATAATACTGTAGCCCTGTTAGTAATGGAGAGTAGATTTTGTCTTGGAAGAATGGTGATGTCACCATCTTGATTGGCAGTCTTGACTAGTCGAATGATGTTATGGCTTTTGCAATGTAGGCCGTAGTGTACGGATTGCCGCTGTAGGCTAGGCAAGCATGGATGTTGCCTCATCGATATTTCTACTGCCTATATAGCTTGATGAATATGAGCAATCACGATAGAAATAAGGCAAAATCAACAATCAAGTTGGTCTTGAAGTGGCCTTTTCGTCTTACTTCCATCATGGCGGAATGAACCATCGAAAGCAAGCGAGCAAAATGGATGTCACTATAACAATATACTGTAGAACCTGGCTGATGAAGGCGTGTAGCTCACCCGACTGTCTTTGTCAACGACTTGATAATAAACCCTATATCGCCATCAACACTACGCGACACATACTAGGCTAGCACTATACACCGTTGATGAGAACGTTCGGCCACTACATCCAGTACTGAGCTCGAATTCATTAAAGGAAACCTTCTCTCTCTCCAGTTTCTACCTCTATTCTCTTCACTTTAGACTTGTTCTCCTTGATTTTGGGTTGAAATCCTTCTCTATTCCATATAAGTCAATTAATTAATTAATAAAGGACATCATCATGGCTCTCCATTAACCTTCATGGATGCCTTTTACAACGATGACGTCACAGCAAGAGGATTGTACTGTAGGACAGCTGGAGCTGAGGAAAAGAGATGTCGCAGGGTTGTCGATTAAGACTGACTGAAACGTGACTTGAGAGTACAGTTTACTGTATGGATCCGAAGTTGGTACAGTTCATTTAGGGTCTGATCAAGTTGTTGTTTGGTATAGGAGACTGGGCAAGAAGTCCAAATGAGTGTACCAACAAAGTACAAACTATCTCAGTTTTAATTGAATGAAAAGCGGCCATTTCTAGACATTAATACAATATCATGGCAAGCTTACAGTATAGAAAGATGGATTTATCAATACTATAGAGAAAAAACTATTCTTGCCCACTGCCCAATCGAATCAAGATGATGGATAATCTATCGGCTGCAGGACTCACACCAACAAAGTGCCATGACATCTGTTTTAAGCACACGGGAGGCTACAGTACAATCTCCAATCCAAGTACTGTAACTCTCCAGTCTACAGTACTGTACAGTACTGAACTGGCCGTCAGTCGCAAAAATAATGTCACTCTCCAGTTTGTACTGTAGCTAAAGCTGTGCTTTGTACTGTACTCTAGGCCACAGCACACACAAGCCTATTTCAACCTGGTTTACAACATGACTTACGCCCCTGCCTGAGGGACCAAGACGAAGATCAACACTCTGCAGTACTAAGTACTCTTCTACAGTACCTGTTACCTAGGATAAGGGTGACATCATTTTAGCACTGTACAGTACAGTACGGTATAGTGCCGACATCAGCAAAAAAATAAATAAATAAATTAAGTCTTCATTTACACCTAAGCTCGGAGATAGCTAGTCATGGCTACCGCAAGTTGTTCATCAGCAAATCAAAAGATCCGAATTTGGCAATTTTTAGACGTTCATTTTGGAAGTTGGCGCTATTTCTCTGCCGATCAGTGCCAATCTTTGCGACAAGGAGTTGATCGTGGCCAACAAACGGTGCAATTGCAAGGCTGCATTGTCAACTTCCTATGCAACGAGATGCAAATCCAACAGGGTAAGAGTTCATTTTAGCATGTTTACGATGCAAAGTTGCCCTTGTCGAGTGCATGGGGTGCCATGGCTAAGCCTTTTGCCATGCAATACCTCTGTGTTCATCCTGTGTCTTGGACGGATTCAGCTTGTAGATAAAATGCCACTTGGATAGGTTGAAATGTCAGCTTTGCAGTCAAGGTTACTGTATACTTACTTTCGTTATTGAATCTTGATAGTGTTCTATTGAAATCCTCGCTTCGCTTTGATACAGGAAAAGAAAAGTCGAAGGATGCATGTCCCACAGTCTTGTTGGAACTATAGGATTGATCGGTTGCGTAGTACAGGATCTTACTTTCGTTATTAAATCCTTCTGATACTATTAAAGTTATTCCTTAGCGTTGATACAGTCAAAGAAAAGTCGAAGGGTGGATGCCTACAGTCTTGTTGGAACCATTTCACTGATCAGTTATGTAGTGTAGACTGTTATTTTCGTTATTCAATCCTTGTTATTAGACCTGAGTGTACTGTGAAAGAAAAGTCGAAGGATGGAACTATTTCATTTGTCTTCTTTTCATGGAGTAGCACATCCAAAACCTAGCTGTTGATATTGTTTTTATCTTAGTTTTAGCCTTTGTGGTAAATTAACCTTGGCAATGGTAAAGGTTAACTCGGTTTGATCGTCAATTCGCACTGTTGCTCAAGATGATAGATACTAACTACTACTACTTGGTAGTTGGTAGATTGTGTCAGATTTAGCGATACGTTGAGGAGTGATTAACTTATGGACTCCCTTCTTCAGATGAGATTTTAGCTCCAAACGCTCAAAAACGTGTCTTCTAGCAATTCAGTTTAGTCAGACAAATCAGTAAAACGATTGCTGTAGTGTTTTATTTCCATGAATCGTTCATCATGTATGATAGTAACGGTAGTGAGAGAGTGTGAAATAACTGTTCGATAGGCAGCTAAACTCATCAGAAAAGGGCCCCCTGGCTTGATATTAGTTCTCTCAACCTTGTTTCCTCCTATTTGGTATACGTATTCTTTACACTTGCTGTTAGTGTTACCTATTCTTATCCAATTATCCATCGTGTGTAACAAGAATAATAATGTGTCCAATTGTGAACGTTTTACAGCAGATCAACCCAATCTGCCAACCATAATTCCGATTCGACAAATCGATATTGCAGCCGATTCCACTATCGCTGAGGGCATCGCATGGGAATGGGAAATAGAACACAATGAATGGATTCCTTATAGGGACGATGCCAATGAATTAATCGAGCAGGAATTTTCGAGAAGCAAAAACCAATGGAAAAAGGATGTGGACTTGTCTGTCATTGGCTTACCTTATACGATCAATTATAAAAAAAACTTTCAACGAAATACTTACAGCGGTTTCAAAAGAAAAATTCGAAGAAATATTTACGGAAGCTACAAAGATACTTTACCAATAATTACGGATAGTGATATGCAAGACGATTCTCTCCATAAGAAAGAATTTTCTACAGGTCTTATTCTATAGGCCTAATAACGTAATAACTTTTCATTGACTAATTTATCTTCCAACGCTAGCAACCTACAGTAGCAAAATATAACTATGCCATAGTGTCTTGGCAGAATGTTAAAAGCATGTTCTCCTTAACGCTGTCGATTGAGATTTAATGAACCGAAATGATCCCAAAGAGTAATTGTAACAAATTCTTCGTAGGCAACAACGACGATCTTAAAGGGACAAACTCTTCTGCAATTGAAAAGAAAGGAGAAAACTCAGAAAAGACGGCCGTTGATTTGACTCAGTCGCCACGTAGTAATGTTTCAGCATGGGATCGGAAATTGCATAAGCAAAAGTATAAACAGCTAGCTGATTTTATCTTACCAGTTGATAATCAACAATTGCCTGATGAGGTAAAATGATTGAAAAATTTGTTGCTATTATGTATGATGGTATTGGATATCTACCATGGATAGATGCATATAGTAATGTTCCTTTTCCTTGATAACTGCTTACAAATGTGCGTAGGATCAATTGCAGTTTGCATATTAGTAATATATACCTCGTCTATGCGTGACAAATGATAACTTGCATCATTGAAAACTCCTAAAGTCCATTCTAGCTCAGTAACTATAATTGAAGTTCAGTAATCATACGAAAATAGATATTTTTGAGCAAGTATAACATCGATCTTTATTAAATTAAAAGTATCATCTAGCTATACAATGTTAGCTTATTTATTGTTAGCTCGCTAAAGGGTATTGGAGTTAGAGGTTAGATTGCTATAGGGTGTATGCTCGTATCTGTATTATAACTATTGAGTATTTCGGTACAGTTATAACGTTCAAAAGTCAATAGACACATTTTTAATGCTACTGCTATTTCGATGCATGACTGTTAGTTAAAATTGACAACATTGAAATATCATTCCACCCCTTTCAATTTTATTATCGTTACAGAACTGCATTATATGCTTTGAAGAAGTGACAGCTGCATCAGGCTTTAGTAACGAAGATGAAAGTAGCAGTCGTGTCGTCATGCTTAGCCAGTGCAAGCATTATTTTCACGACGAGTGTATTTTCGCGTGTGTGCAAAGTAAAACTGTAAGACCATGATAACGTGATAAATATTCAAGTACTAAAGGCGATTGATATTCTCACCATAATGTGTAAATGTATCTTTAGATGTAAATTTGAGATGTTAACAGTCGAATGACTGAAATATCCACTTTTCTCAATAAATGTAACATTAGATCAAGATACAAATACTGTCCAGGACTTCTAAGTAGACAATATTGAATCAATTCAAATATTTAATCGCATATCAATCTTTTTTAATACAGTCTGAATTTTTAGAATGTCCAAAATGTCGCACGTTGCATGGAATAAAGACTGGAAATCAACCTGAGGGAACAATGACCTATGTAGTACAGAATGGGATGCAAATACCTGGATTTAACTCTACATCGGCTATTGTTATTACCTATAATTTTCGAAGTGGCATACAGGTTATCATTGTGGATTAAAATAATAAAACTTGTTGTCGGTATATGTCCAGCAGTTGGTAGGTTTATATAATGAATTAATTAATAATTATTATTCATCATTCTATGATTTTAGGGGCCACAGCATCCCAATCCTGGTGCGAGGTACCATGCAAATGCTTTTCCCCGAGTAGCTTACTTACCAAATACTGCTAAAGGACAAGAGGTATGTGTTCCGCCCTTGATAGTTTCTTACCAAACTGCTCACTCCCGAACAGTACTACTAGCACACGTTAGGTTAGCGTATTTTGTACTGCTAGTCATGTTTATTGCATTCTAATTAGATACTGTAACTAATTACTGTGTTAAAAATTGGGTATTAATTGCACTGTAGGTACTTCGCTTACTTCAGATCGCTTGGGCACGCAGTTTAATATTTGCCATTGGACGATCATCAACAAGCGGAGCTGACAATGTTATTGTATGGAATGATATCCATCATAAAACTGAATGGCAAAGTAACTATAGTGGTCATGGCTATCCAGATCCTGACTATATAAAACGCGTAACTGAAGAATTGCATGCCCATGGAATACGCTGAATACTTTTATGACATCAAATAATCATCTACTAACAGATACATAATTCATTTGGCATTATGTAATCGGATTACATGGTTTTGAGATATCCTATATATTTATTGGCCACTATAAACAATTTACTAATGGTAATTTAGCTAGTAACTAGCTTCAATATCCTACGATTTGTTCAAGTAATGTGAGTATGTAGATCACTTACGAGTATGTATATATATATATATGTACAAATATATATTTGTACTGTGATAGGTCAGTAATATCAACGAAATAATACCATGCCTACGCAATTTTTTACAAATAAATGATATAACAGCAAAATGGTATCGATATGTTAAACAATAAGGTGTTCTTGTGTTTTTTCCTCGTACACTTGTCGTTAATTTAGTATTTTAATACCGCATAATTGCCGTAGCATTTGTACATAAGATATTCGTATCTTTACCATATTTGGCTACTCATAACGGCTTTACAATTTATCTTTGGGTCATTATATTAGCTAGTTTAGTGAGCATTTGGCACGAAATTCATACCAGTATCTGTGTTTTTCACACACGTATATACCATCTATCTAAATATTTATATAACTTTATACGTACATATGTATACTTCATATATCTCTATTTGGCTAAATGCTTTCAGTTAGACTTGTTTAGAGAAATTCACACAAATAGCCCAGCTAAATTACATTCGTACATTGATCATTAACAAGTAATAACATCAGCATTGACAGTTTAGGTAGGAGTTCCGTGGTAAATAAACGGCAGAGATACGGTTGTGATAAGGTCTGCTAAAATTATAATCACAGACGATGATACATTACAATAAGTCCGCAATGAAAGATCAGCTATATAATTACAATTCCAAAAAATGATGATGATTTTAAAATTCAATACGAGAATTGCATAGAACGTTAAGGAGATATTATTTCGTATACAGTAGACCCTAAAAATGTACTTTCTAAGGATCGATGTAGTTTTTAGTTTAGGCCAATATAATACAAATTTTTACGATATATATTTCATTTTTTCTTAAATTAAACCCGATCTTTTCACCGGGCTTCACAGATTTAATGGTTGTCTGAGAACATTCACCCAGTGTAATGTAGATTGTTTACACGACTTATTACAATATATGACAGCATCTACACATTCTAGTTCTCGCAGTTTCTGCTTGATCAGCTGGCGTTGCAGGAGGAAAGTATACATGAATTTGTACAGATGGTAACTGATTCTAGATAGAAAAAATACAATTATGATCGTTACCCTTGAACGATTTATCGCACCAATTTTACAGTATGACATCAAAGATACGTTACACACCATCAGTCTTTTAATGCCACTTTTGGTAATGCCTTGGCAATCATACAATCCAATACGTTTCAGATTACGACATTCACTATTCAAATAAGTCGGTGAAATTTAATCAATACTTTATAAGATTGTAATCTCTGCCAAATACAACGTTGCACTTGATAGCGTTGTTGCTACTTACTGTAGTTGGCCTAAAGTGCCGTCAGTGAGTTGTGGGCAGTTATCGAGTTCTAAATGCTCAATATTATATTTAATAGGGCTCTGAACTATCTTACGTATACCAGAGTCTGTTATATGCTCGCAATACGATAGAACCTAGGTTATAAATGTCAAAATCCACGTTAATTATCCTATACAAAAAGTCGTAGCAATTAGGGGGAGACGAGATTGCTTACCAAAGAACGCAACTTTGGACAATACAATGCCATTTCATTTAACACATTATCTGATATCTACACAAATATATGATAACAACGTCAATAGACGACCGTTAATGCTATAAAGTTGATTACATATTATTTAATACCCTAGCACAGTCTTCCAAGTCTAGTCGTTCAATATCGCAGCAATTCTGCATAATAAAATGATAACATTAGTGCCAGCAATTAAATCTTAGCCAATTGCTATGCTAAATGACTCTTGTCTATTCTAAAATGCGTCAGTAGCGATTTATATCACATACTTTTAACAATACTTGAAAGCCATTATCCGTTAAACTGGAACAGTGGGCAACCTCTAATACTCTATGTTCGTTGAAATATACAAATGTGAATTGGGAGTTGTTTATGCTTGATAACTTTAAACGTTCATTAAATACCTTAAATGTTTACAACCGTGACCCAGATACTTCAAGGAAGCATCTGTAATTAGGTCGCACTTTGACATGCATAACTCTTCTAGGCTATGACAATTTACACTAACTCCTTCAACAGAAACATCATGGATACCCTAACAATAAAAATAAGCTTGCTATGATAAAATGTCCATTGAAAATCAACCGATGATTAGAAACTGAATGCATTAGGAAATATCGCAATAAATTTTAGCAGCTGCATGTCTATTCCAGATAAATTACTTACTATACAGTTATGTAAATTTAAAATAACCAATTCCTTGCAATTCTTTGCTGCTGTAATAACTGCATCATCCGTTAACTAATGGACATATAAAATCAAGAACTTAAAGCAAAACATCCTATTTCAGGTATTTTCTTAGAGTGTATATCACTCACCTGAGTGCAACCTTTCATTAGTAGAGTTCGAAGTTTGGGGCACTCCTTCGTTAAATTCTTGATGCCACTATCAGTAATCCGATTACACCATGAAATATCTAAATAACTTAATGAACCGCAACCATTGCTACGGCGTATATACAGACATCTATTAGATACATTGTGCTAGCTAACAAACTACATACAATATAGCACATGAGTGATAAGCGAACTTCATTTTATGCAGTTTCATACCCTATTGCTATTAGAGAATCATCGCCAACTCCCGAACAAGAAGATATATCTAGATATCGTAAATAAGGGCAGTTTCTTCCAAGACTTATGCAAGTTCTAGCACATTAATAAAAAGGCAAACTTTAAAATCAAAATAGTCTATTGTGACAATACAGTATACATAAGCAATAAAAAAATACGAACTTATCCGTTATAGCACTGCATCCCTCTAACTTTAGTGCTTCTATGTATCGGCAATGTTGGGAAAATGTCCTGAATAATTGAATTCCATAATACGTGATCAAATATTTGTGGTTTCAAATATAAATAAATAATTGAGATTATAATGAAGTCGGAAAAATTTTAAAACATACTCTAAAGCATTATCTCCAACTTTTATGCATCCTCGAATATTAAGCGTTTTCAAAAAGCCTCCACAACGTTGTGCAATCCTCTCGATAACTTTACACTAGGATGATGCATGAACAATGCTTCATTAATGATAGCTATCGTATACAGTCAATAATATTGCTTAAGTAGCCACTTTGGCTATATCAAACTTAAGTTAATATAGCGTTAAATTTGTATATCAATATCAACGGCATTGGTATTCATACTTCAATATCTTTTTGAAAGCAAAAGAGATCTACATGTTGCCAATTACTACCATCCAAAGCTAAAGTATTCCAGGTCTAAACCATGATAATATATGTAATGCGCAATTCCATATAGATTAGTACAAAATTATGCTGATGATGTCATGAATATTTTCTAGGTGAGTACAATGTAGCAAAATTGAATTCATCTTACCCTACAAACTTGTGCACATCGACAGAGCGTCACTGTGTCTAAAAAGGAGAATATCCTGAAAAATGATAGAATAGCGATGTCAATGGAAATTTTGAATACTTGACGTATACTATCGACGGTACTTGTGGCAATCACTAAGCTTGGGCTTTCCTTTTTTATTAAACTACGTCATCCATGTGTGAGAAATGTTGTCTATAGTTCAAACTGGCAGGACTGATTTATATTTAAGGATAATCTCTATTCTAAAACAATAAAATTTTACTACCACTTTATTAGTCATTTTATAGTTATAGATATATTTCCTTATTATAATTTTACAATTGGAACATGATAAACTTGAGCCTACGACCTAACGATGATTGATACAATTTCGCCGGTACGAAAGCGTACTAATTACCTCAACTAATTAATAAATGGTGTCCTATACAATTTACCGTTTAATTCGTTACAAAGTGAAAGTTGATGAAAAAAATTAGCTTACTTTAGAGTTATTTCCTTCGGCAGCTTACGGATATTATCAATGCAATCCGGTTGTTTCGATTGCGATAAATTCTATGGACAGAGAATCAATTTTAACTTTTAAAAATAATTTGACTTTTTTAACAAAGAGCTTGCTTTAAGTATCATTGGCAGTAAACTTTTCGTCGAGATATATATTATATACAAAAGGTTTTGAATATAATTGTATCCGTTATATACAGTATATAGCTATTGTATATATTTCTACAGTAATATACTCTTCCATTTTTTACAGGACGCTTACAATGATAGAAATGAAAGTAATGTTTTTTTTTTTTACATAGCAGCTCAAAGTAAGCTACGTCCTTCGGAGAGCTTTTCATTTTAAAAGGGAACGATTAATAGGTGTACTTTATGTATAAAGTGATTCTATTCATTGGAAGTGATGGCAAGACGAAGCGTTTCAGAAAGCATTCTCTCCGTTATGCTCGAATCATAACCATTATTACATCATGACAGTTCTTTGCCTATCGACCATCGGAACATGCATACTGCCTTCTCCGTATTTGAGTAGTCTGTAGTCTGTGCTGTGCAGTTCTAAAGCCATTCATCCAATTCTTTACGGGTAATATCAATGTCAATGACTGTCTTAAATATATAGTTCTCATCATTTTGTACTCAGAGAGTGGATTACGGTACAAGTCAAAGACTACGATTATGCATATCATCCATGTAATGCCGTTTCCACGCTTCCTGTCTGCATTTTTGGGTAATGCATAAAATTCGGTTGGGATCAAAACTGATGCATTCCGAACAAAAGACACTGTATTTTGATCCATTTTTGCCAACAACCAAGGCATTACATTCATTTCTAGTCTAGCTCAACAAAAACTATCCACCGCGTCGATTTGATTACTAGTACTAGTAGACATGAACAGAAAATTCTCTCGGCATGACATCAATAAGATCAAAAATAGCAACAGCAGCAATGGTGATGGTTATTCCAATTAATAAATAGGATCTGCACTCGAAGTATAGAACGTGCAGTGTAGTATTGTGTAATTTGCAAGCCCTTCACTCTTCATCATCTTTATCAATGATCACCATTCCGTCATCGTAGAAAGTACTATCCTATTCATCGTCGCTGTCTAGAAATACAAGGTACCGAGGATATAAAATGCACTATTACTACGATTCCGTTCATCCTAGACTGCATCCTACAATGTCCAAGCACTTTACTCTTCATCATCTTTATTGGTGACTACTATTCCGTAATTTTATAAAGCACTTGACTACTCATCATCCTTATCTATGCAGTACAGTACAGTACAATAGGTATAAAGTAGATAAACTGGGCTATCGCTACGATTGCGTTAACCCTATACTACAGTAGATTGTATAATTTAGCTAATTTAGTAAATTTTACGTAATTTACTAAGTTAGCTAAGCCCTTTACTCTTCATCGTCCTTTATCGATGACCACCATTCCGTCATCGTAGAAAGCACTGTACTATTCATCGTCGTTGTCTATAAATACAAGGTACGAGGATATAAAGTGCGCTATTACTACGATTCCCTTCATCGTAGACTGCATTCTAAAAAGCACTTTACTATCCATCCTCGTTGTCTATAAATACATGGTACGAGGATATAAAGTGCGCTATTACTACGATTCCCTTCATCGTAGACTGCATTCTAAAAAGCACTTTACTATTCATCCTCGTTGTCTATAAATACAAGGTACGAGAATATAAAGTGCGCTATTACTACGATTCCCTTCATCGTAGACTGCATTCTAAAAAGTACTTTACTATTCATCCTCGTTGCCTAGAAATACAAGGTACGAGAATATAAAGTGCGCTATTACTACGATTCCCTTCATCGTAGACTGTATTGTAAAAAGCACTTTACTATTCATCCTCGTTACCTAGAAATACAAGGTACGAGTATATAAAGTGCGCTATTACTACGATTCCCTTCATCGTGCTGTAGACTGCATTCTAAAAAGCACATTACTATTCGTCATCGTTGTCTAGAAATACAAGGTACGAGGATATAAAGTGCGCTATTACTACGATTCCCTTCATCGTGGACTGCATTCTAAAAAGCACTTTCCTACTCATCATCCTTCTCTATCAATATAAAGCGTACTATTACTACGATTCCGTAATGCTATACTGCATTCTGCAATTTCCAAGCACTTTACGATTCATCGTTCTCATCTGGAAATATAACGTGCACTATTACTACGATTCCGTAATCGCCAATCTCAGTATCAGTAGCGTTGGAGCAGCTAAGTGCACCTGTCACGGGCCGAAGATTTTCAATCGTTTTGCATGACAAATGGAAACAATCGATATTATTACTGTATTTTTATTGATATTATGATTATTTTTTCTCTTTTCCTATCTGTATGGAATAGTGCTGTTGTAGTACAGTGTACATTAACCTCGAGTGTAGTCTATATTGTACTATGTCGTTTTCGTGTCTTGATGGCAACAGTTCCCTAGCTCTCCCCCCCCCCCAAAAAAAACTAGAGACACAATACAGTACTGTCTTTTACGGTATTTAACAAGAATCAGACATAGTACAATAGTGTAGAGAAAAGTATGGCGATTTTTTCTCTTTTTATTCATGCCAAGAGTTGTATTCCAGCCATGCTATCCGTGCATAGACACGAAAATTATTTGAAGGCAACCAAGACGTAAAATAATGTCTTTTGGACGATTTTAAATGCAATTGATTGACTGGGAAAGGTGGGAAGGATTTTCTATTTTGATCCACTGCCTATGGTGGGGTAAAGTAGGCTCCCAACTCTTTCATATTTATTCGTTTCTGTTTGGTAGTCAATTTACTGATGCCGGGGACTTGCCAAGTAGGGTAGTCGAGTCAGCTAACAAGAATAGTAAACTGGATCATCGTACTGGAAGCATAACACGGCAGTCGATGGAGAATAGAGTAGAGTGGAGAGCAGAGTACCTGTGCTGTGTTTGCTGATGACGATAGCAAAGCAATCGCATACAGTAGCAGTGTCTAAGCGGTACAGTACTGTAGCAGGATAGTCGAATTGAGTGAAAAACGAGAGACACGGTCGCAATATTCTCAAGATGAGCGATTTCCCAACTGAGCATCGATCATTCATCATCCAATGCTACAAGCCCTGATGATGAGAATGCCTCCTATCTCCAATCATTTATTCATTGTATGACTATGCCATGGGAAAATAGGTCCCCAAATGGGTCAAGTACAAGTGGAATGAATGAGAAAATGAAACTCGATCGCAAGTGGAAAAATGAGCCAGTGTCATCAATGCGTGGAGATACTGTACTCGTATGGTCCAGTATTTTATTATTATTATTTATTTACATCGACGCGTATTTCAAAACAGAGTTGACTTTTTGCAATTGATGATTGCTTTTACGTTCAACATCCTTGATGCAGTTGATCGTTGGGCTTATTGCATGTCATGGTCAACTAGGATCGTGATGGTGTCGCGTTTGTTGGATATAACGCTCAAAGAAGTCCATTGGTAGGCAAGCGTCGTTTGGCTAGTGAAACAACAAAAGTTTGTGGGACAAAAATGGCAGAACCCTTTCTCACTTACCTGAACTTTAGTCTTGCTACCGAGTGTACCAGTCATTGCATTTCTAACGTGATCCAAGCAAGATAAAGCGACTTGAAAATAGTGGGTTGTATCGAACTAGTTGGATAGAGTTAGGATAGGACGACGTAATCTTTTTACGATAGCATTCGGCTTTCCTTGCCACTTTTATTGATTGATGATGGATAGAAATTTTCCACAGTGTTTTCAGATGAATGTGGTAATCCTGTTGTTTTGTTTTCGTGCAACTTTGCAGCACAGTGTGCAGTACTGTATACTCTAAACAGTGCACTGTACACTGTAAATTCGGTACACGGTAGAGTAACGGACAACCGATTGGCAGGACAATACACCTACAGTACATGTTGAGTGCAGGCACAAGTACTGTACCCTGTACTCAGACCATCCTACAGTATAAAAGTCATCGCTATTACAGTACTAGTAGTACTGTACTGTACTGTACAGTACACTGTACAGTATGCTTTTTAACAGTACAGTACAGTACTCCATTCAAAATTCTCTCTCGGTACACGGTAGAGTACGGACCACCGATTGGCAGGACAATACACCTACACTCCTACAGTACATGTTGAGTGCCGGCACAAGTACAGTACTGTACTGTCCATTACAGTACAGTATAAAAGCCATCGCTATTACAGTACTAGTAGTACAGTACACTGTACTGTACAGTATGCTTTTTAACAGTACAGTACAGTACTCCATTCAAAATTCTCTCTCGGTACACGTACAGTACACTGTACTGTACATGTACTGTACAGTTCACGGTAGAGTAACGGACCACCGACTGGCAGGACGATACACCTACAGTACAGTACATGTTGAGTGCAGGCACAAGTACTGTCCATTAATTACAGTACTGTACTGTATAAAAGCCATCGCTATTACAGTACTAGTAGTACACTGTACTGTACACTGTACTGTACTGTACAGTATGCCTTTTAACTGTACTGTACAGTACTGTACAGTACAGTATAGTACAGTACTGTACTGTACAGTACTGTACTCCATTCAAAATTCTCTCTCGGTACACGTACAGTACACTGTACTGTACATGTACTGTACAGTACACGGTAGAGTAACGGACCACCGACTGGCAGGACGATATACCTACAGTACATGTTGAGTGCAGGCACAAGTACAGTACTGTGTACAGTACAGTATACTGTAAGTGTACAGTACAGCACAGTAAAGTACAGTACTGTACATACAGTATAACAACAACGAAACTTACTTATTGGTTAAATTCTTCTTCATATTTAGGCCAAGCTAGCAAACAAAGAATAAAAAGAGCTGGATTCGACGCTAATTCAGTATATAGCTTTCAAAGTAAGTTTATAAAATATTTTGAAATTATATGCACCGAAACGCCTCAAATTTTAGAAGGCAAGATTATTAGATTTCTAACGGCTCTCTGCTAAGGAGTTAATTCTAGAATACTAATATCAAAGCAATAAAAGCTAAATAGAGAATAACGTTTTCTTGGAATTCAACACTGTCAAAATGTTACAATATACAATACTAGTGCAAACTCCCGTCGCTTTGCTGACGGTTTACGATAATGTGCTCATTTAACATATAGTATTACCATTTGTCGTAGACCTGTCAGAGGTTCAGTAACTTTATACCGTGTGCTGTGTAGTAGTAGAGTGTATGACATATACTGATATACATACCGCATTTCTCTAATCTTACAGTAACTCTCCATTTTTAGCTATGTGGAACACTCTTACCCACTCATTCAAACCGTATAATATACAGTATATATATATATATATATATATTAGTGCAAGCTCCCGTCGCTTTACTGACGGTTTACGATAATGCGCTCATTTAACAGAGGTTCAGTAACTTTATACCGTACCGTGTAATCCTGTGACTTTTCATAAATGTGAGTTTATGAAAGGCGAAAGCGGCTGGAAACAATTACAAGCTGTTGACTTTACCGACTGGGAACGTGGTAAGTATATCAGTTTTATTACTCTACAAATTTGAATTTGCAGCTATGTCGTTGCCAAAATTTTAATCGAAAATTTTGTCCAATAAATCAAATTAAATACTCTAATCAGGATTGCAAGAATAGCACAAATTCCAGTTTACTATTGGGAATTTAGCTATAACTTCAACATCATAACCTGATTTCTTGCTCAATGCATATTTTCGTCTACTTTTAAAAGATGCTAAAATAGGAATGGTTCTCAATTCCAAATATGAGAACATTAATGGCCAATATGCGGATATGATTAGTCCCCCAATGGTGAAATCTCATGAAGCAATTTCAATTAGGGTAATTCCTTACTGGTATTTAAGATGATGATTTGAAGATCAGCTTACTTTGCAAAAATTTAAACTCTCATGACTATATGAAAAATTTAGGCTTGAAAGATGATTATTACGCTTATGTCCAGAGATTTCCATATAATTCGACAGTTTCTACAGTAATTCTACGAAGTCCAGTTTTACGACGAAATTCAGATAGTCAGTCAGTGGAGGTAGCTTCCAAAAGTCGGGCTGTTTTCTTTAAGACAGATTTCTATAAGCTATTATGACAATGCCAACATCAAATTGACTCATTTCTATTACATTTGATTTTGCAAAAAAGATGTATTACCGTCGTTTGATTATCGGCTTTCAAACTGGAACCTACGCTATCAGGTATCAATACGTTAACAGCACATTTATCACCTTAGATTTTGGAGTTTTAGTTCCAAGTTCTCGAGAGAGCTGGAGTAAAGTTGGTGTTTCGCCGAATCAATTCTATCCCACCGAAGATTTTACTGTAAGTCATGCAAAATAAATCTTAAGATACGAGTTAATTACGTCTTATTTACGGCAAATACTTTTATTCGCTCAATTATCCATACAGATGGAAATCGTGTATGAACTGCGTGGCTCAAGTACACCGTCTTCAGGCGGCATCCTAATCGATGATATTGAAGTAACTAATTCCAAGGAAGGTAATGATTACCAAATAGAATATAGAAAAATGAAATAGGAACAAGGCTTAATTTTTTGATGGAGTACCTTATGGCGTTATTGTGTCTTAAAGACTAAAAAGTTCTTCAATACGCTAGTTAATTCCGGAACCAATAAAGCATTTGGTCTATTTCATGCTGCAACCGTGGTGGGGATAGCCATTTTGAGTACCTTGCTGACACTATCGCCCTCGAGTCTGCTATTTTGATTTATGGATGCTTCTGGATAGGCGAAATTGGACCAAAGCCTTTAACGCTTATTGTTGTAATTATTTAGATAATTAATAGATCTCAGATACTCTGATCCAATATTTATAGTAGTTTTTACAAGTACGTTCAGCTCAATGCCTGAATGTGGGACTAAGCAAAGTATCCTGATTATTAGCAAGATTATCGAAGATAACAGAGTATCTAATACTGCATGAGATCTAATTTAACTTAGGTAATTATTATTTTACAACATTGACACGAGATCCAATAAGCTGAAAGTTTTTCGACGCTTGATGTGGATACCGAAGTTGTAACATTTAATGGTAGTTTATTAACAACTTACAACGCTAACGATAGATTCAATAAGAAGCAAGTCTTCAGCCACTTAGCATGGATACCAAATTTTTTAGTTTTATTGATAGTTTATTAATAACTTATAATGCTAAGACAGATCTAATAAGGTGTATACTTTCTGACTCTTGATATGAATACCGAAATTTTTAACTTTCAATAATAGTTTATTAATAACTTACAACGTTAACGATACATCTAACAAAGCGCATGTATTATGATACTTGATATAGATACTAAAATTTCTAGTTTTTAATAACAGTTACTAATAATTTTAATGACAGATCCAACATGTTGCAAGTCATTTGACATTAGATATAGATACGGAAATATTTAGCTTTTAATAATTGTAATAGAAGTTATTTAGCCTAGTAACTACAGCAATGTCAGTTTGCTTAGGAAAGTCAAAGTTAGAAAGATCAAATAAAGCATTTGAAATTATAAATCATATTTTGATGGAGATTTAATGACTGATCCAATAATTTTTTGTTTATATACTGATACTTGAGTGTAAGGAATAGTCCACAGATACTATACACATTTGCCATAAACTAATGGGGCATTGTTGAAATATGCCGGTTGTACAATTTTACTTACATTAGTATCAGAATGCGAGATAAATTTAGAATATAACACAGTGTAGAATCTAATGGTAAACAACCTTAATTAATATAAATCAATCAACGATCAATTAAGACCTAGAGAATCAGCACCACTAAATCATTTAAGAGACTCAAATTAATAATAACTCACTAACAAGTAAGGCTGGTGCTAAATTAAATATCATAATAAACATAATCATGTCATAGTCCACTATCACTTCCAACTACAAATTAATTTACACATAACAAGAATGAACATCGTGACACGCACTAAAATTTTTACTAACAGTTACTGGAGAGCGTATTGAATGTTGGTGCTAGGCATGGTTACAAAACTCAATCGTTTCTTGGTTTAGAAGAAAGTTATCCAAAACTACTGTTTCTACTATTTCCCCGAAATGGTTTGCTTTAAAAGATATGTGGCCAACGGATTGCTTTGGGCTCTACTCAATTGTAGGTAGTATTCATTCCAATAATAATTTTGGATACTGTAAGGAGCGATATAAGCGAATCAAATCAAATTTGTACAGGTAGTTGTTACTTAACTAAACTTGCCTAATCTAAACTAATTAAATTACCGTAGATAAGTAACAATGACTGAGAAATGCACTTTCGGAATCTTCTAGCTATATCTTTATTCTAGAAAATACAAGTCTGATTTAATATTCAAAATCAATCATTGAAATAGCTGTTCTAGCAATAAAACCGGCTTACGATGTGTGATATATTTCGACCAATAAGACTTCGTGAATACATTAAATTATTCCTAGTCTAATCCAATGAATTTGTAATATTACTATAGATTAACTTTATGTTTTCTCTAGCTTATAATTAACAGGATTTATATCGAATTTACCATTGACAATTCATATACTATATTTAGTATAATTTAAGCTGTATTAGGAACAGGTTTGTATCGACTATATTAAGTCTTAAATTAATTCATGCACATATCCAAATTGATAACTATCTTATCGTGATCCATATACATATCTAAATTAAGTAAGATATCATTCATCACAGTTGATTCACTACCGTGACAAAAGTACAGTTTGCACAGCGTTTCTGTATAGGGAATAACAATGAATGTCTGTATTTCCGGGTAGGAAGTCAGAATAATTGTGAATTTCTCTGTAATATATAGGTAATGTAGGAGTATGTCCAGTTCAGTGTGTTGTGTATTTATATTTGTTTCTGTTACGAAATCAAGGTTACTGCAAACCTTAACATTAAAAAAAATGATGTTGTATGACGTCGTTGTATAACACTGTAATTTAGTAGCAAGTCATTATCAACCAATATTACGATATATTGTATTCAAAAGCTAGTCAAATTATGAATTATCTTGACCAGCTCTAACAGGGTTTGCAGCCATCGTCACCTTACATTTCTGCTTTATTCGCTGCAAAACAAAAAGACAGGGTTAGATGTAGAGCGAAGTAAGTCTACGAATGTACAGTTATGTAGATACTGGATTGTCACTTAAGAGCTTTGCTGATGTCATTTTTTTAAATCGAATAAACTTATGCTAAGCAGTATCACTATGCTCAAATCTAATTTAATACGGTATAACATTGTTTTGTACAATTGATACACCAAATACAAGTTTCATAACGAAATTAAAACGACCAAACTAGCTAAGACCAAATAGGCTATGATTAAACTGTGATTATTGACAGGTGGCTGAAGGGTTGTTATGAAATTGAAATAGGGTTAGGTTTTCTTAAGATATTATTGGCTTTAGATTGATTTTATCGCAATGATAAATCAGTATTTGTATGAATGCTATCGATTTGTTTGTGATATAATCTTGTCATACGCAACAGAAATTGATGAGAATTAAATCATTTGGCTGGCTTAAGTTAAAATCTCATACTAATGAAATGAATAACTTCTAATTGGCTAGGTCTGTACTTACGTATCGTGATAAGATAAGCCAACATGAGTGTCAAAGAAGTTAAAACAGTATACAAATTCAATGAAAAGAAATTGCAAATTAGCCAATCGTTAACAAGAGTTGGACTCAGGCATATTTTGTCAAGATTACTTTACAGTTTACGAAGATGATGTCAAGATACGAGAATAAAAGTAGTAGTCGATAAAAGTTGGCAATCGCAGTAGCTAAGGTAGTCGAATGCAATACTGTTGGACTGTGAAGAATGCATCTAGGCTGAATAGAATTTAGAAAAATGTGAAAAGAGTAGCCCATACATGTAATTTTGGAGCTGATTAGAAAGAAGAATTCAGAATAGCTTGCAACCCACAATATTTATTTCTATTGACTCAAAATCTCCCTATCTAACATTGCTTCCAGTATAATTTCATTGTAATATAAGTGCTTTTATTTTCCAATGCTACGAGTTATCGTGCAGATATTATCAATGCTAGTATGCATAAATACTAAAATGGAGGAGGAAAAGTATACTTCTGCAGTATTGAAATACTCGTGTCGTGAGTTTAGCATTTGAGTTCAATTCTGATTTAAACGTGGAATTACTAATATGCGCTACAGTAGGCTATAACACTTGCGTAGTTTAACGCAATTGGTTGCTCGTACCCCGTGTAATGTAACTAGTATTGTGATTGTAGACCGTTTGCCATGTTTAGCATGCCGTTTGGATTACACAGTGCTCCAGCTACGTTCCAGCGTTTGATGAATGCAGTGCTAAAAGATTTACAGGGAGTTGCTAATGTCTAATTGGATGACACTATCGTCTATAGTGCAAGTTGGAAAGAACATTTGCAGCACCTGGGAACTGGTATTCGATCGATTGCGACAATTAGGATTAAGTGTTAAAGAATAAAAGTGCAATTTCGCAAGCAACACTGTGTCACATTTGGGACACACGATTGGAAATGGAAGAATAGCGCCTATAGATGCACATGTTAGAGCCAAAATGAAATTAAAGACGCCAACTACGAAGAAAGAAGTACGTTCATATCTTGGAGCTATTGGCTATTATAGGAAATTCATTAAAGAATATACCGAATGGACTGCGCCATTAGTAGAATTGACTAAGAAGGCAAAGCCGAATGAAGTTAAATGGACCGAACAATGTGAAGAAAGCTTCCAGAAATTAAAGCAGAAATTAGCAAGTGGTCCGACTTTGAAAATTATAGAGCCGGATAAGAAATTCATCCTGCAAACGGACGCCTCCGAAGTTGGTCTTGGAGCCGTATTGTCTCAATTGGATGAAAAAGGCGAAGAAAGGCCCGTAATATTTGCTAGCCGAAAACTGAAGCAAGCTGAAATCAATTACACGGTAATTGAAAAAGAGTGTTTAGCTGTTGTTTACGCTGTAAAATTGTTCTATATTTGCTTAGATGGTCGAGCGTTTGTTTTGCAAACTGACCATAAGCCGTAAATATGGCTTGCTCATATGCGTAAAGATAACCAGCGGTTAATGCGTTGGTCTATGTTTTTGTCGCAGTTTAAGATTAATATTAGACATAGACCTGGTAAAAGTAATGGCAATGCAGACGTATTATCTAGACTAGTAATGGATAATTGATTATTTGGCCTGCGTGCCGGGAAAACTTTTGTAAGCTTGTTAGTTTGTAGAATTTTGTATTGGTACAAAATTCTAGGCGGACGAAAGTAACGTAACTAGTATTGTGATTGTAGAATATTAGCCATGTTTAGTATAATAATGTACGGTAGATATTTATCCTATGAGATATTTGGCAGACATAACTATAGACTGTGGTGGTATAGACTCTAAGCTAGAGTGCAGATGACTATATACAGTAAGGTGTTGAGTTACTAATAAGGCTATAGGTAAAAATAGAACAGTAAATCATATATTAGGATATGGTTAATTCATCGTACTTTGGCTGGTGTGAATAATGTCTACGTAAATACTGTAGTCGTATCCATATCGGATAAATGATGGTCCGCAGTAGAATAGTCTTACTAAGAATAATTTAACTACGTGTAAAATAAGGTAAAAGGTTGCCATGCGGATTGTAGCTGCGAATGCTACGGAAAGTATAAAAGTAT